TGACCATGGTATGCGTCCCCGGTTGCCTTTGAACCCCTTCCCGTTGACATTACATTAATTGAAACATCAATGTGTTTTGGGGAAGGGGAGGGAGGGATGATTTGTTGAGGTATGTAGGGAGTGACCATGGTATGCGTCCCCGGTTGCCTTTGAACCCCTTCCCATTGACATTACATTAATTGAAACATCAATGTGTTTTGGGGAAGGGGAGGGAGGGATGATTTAATGAGGTATGTAGGGAGTGACCATGGTGTGGGTACTTGGTTGCCTTTGAACCCCTTCCCATTGACATTACATTAATTGAAACATCAATGTGTTTTGGGGGAGGGGAGGGAGGGATGATTTGTTTAGCCATTAGAAGGTAGTGACCCCCTTATGGGAAATTCTGGATACACTCTTGAATTGATAAATGTTAATCACCTTGATGATTTATAACTCAAAGATCTTGTAATAGCCCACTTCCAAGATATGCTTCTTTTATCGCATACAAAGGTTTGTAATGTGAGGCTTTTGGGAAGCATGGGTGGTGTAGCGGTGAGAGCACTCACCTCTCACTCACCAATGTGACCCAGGTTCGAGTCCCGACAAGCTCAGTGTTGTATGTGAGTTGAGTTGTTTGTTGGTTCTCTCCTGAGCTTCAAGGGTTTTTCTCTGGGTTCACTGGTTTTCCTCCCTCCACAAAAACCAACTACTAAATTCTGATGGGATCCTAGAAGASATTCACCTCAATATCTCCTTCAGACTCGCTGATGCAAATAAATTAGTATTTAGTGTTCATGCGTAATGCTAAGTGATTCATTACAGAAGATAAGAGTTAATTTAATTTAGCATGTAACCTTGTACTGGAACCTTTGGGTGTGACTTTTGAAATATATCTCGGAAGTGGGCTATTGTTTATCTATAGACTATTGTTTATCAAAGGATTAATGCAGCATTTAATGTACTTTCCTCCATGACAACCACTACTTGAAAATGTTCATTCCCTCAATTAGGATTTACACATTACTATTTTCTCTATGTTCATTCGCCCCTCCCCATCCCTCTGAGAAGAAGATAGAGAGAAAAATTGTTCTGATAAGAGTCAAAAATGTTAAAATTCTGAGAATTTCCACCCAATTTTACCCCCCCCTTTACCCAATCCAAGAGACTTTGTTCAAGAAAAGCCCTTACTTGCAACAATGGTGCAAACCAAAAATGTCTGTCTGACTGAATGCCTCTCTGTCCGTTTGTCTGCCTTTCTATATGGCTAGCAAGCCTCCTGTTTGTCTGTATTTCTGTCTGTCTGACTGTCTGTCAAACTAATTGACTGTCTATCTGAATGACTCTCTGTCTGTAGGTAATGTCAGCTATTGAGAAACTCCTCCGTCAAGTGGCATGGGGACCTCTTGACGTGTTGGTGGTTGATATGCCACCAGGAACAGGTGACATCCAACTGTCCATCTCTCAGCTCATTCCTGTTTCAGGTTTGTTCATATTTGAATAAAACTCATGTAGACCAATAGTCGTGGAAGACCGTGGGAGCTATTGCTGGGCTTCCTGACTTGACCTCATTTCCTTTCTCGTGCAGAATGTTCTTCCGCTAAATCATTCATGCTTTACCACCATTTTTTTGAAGATAATGAGATTCAAAGGCCGGATAAAACGTCGAACTTCACATGAACCAAACCTAATGACATTAAAGTACACCGCCTTGTTATCCATTTTTTCAATTAGGTTCGGCTCATGTGAAGTTTGTCGTTTCCGGACTTCAAAGACTCATCAGCTCATTGAGTAGTATAGGGGATGGGGGTTCCAGCGCAACGACCACCGGAGGATTACCCGTCTAAAGT